AGGAAACATTCCCTTAAAATTAAAGCCTTCAGCTTTTCCCGTTCCTGAATTAGCGGTTTCCCCATCAAAATTTTCACGTGTCCGTACATGAGTACCGGACGGTTTTAAGAAGCTGAATTTAAAATCTTTTGGTCATACATGAGTAGGAAACATCTCCCGGAAGTTTCAGCTTTCTAGCTTTTCCCGTTCCCGGGTTAGTGATTTTCGCGTCAAAATTTCCACTCACTCGTACGTGGGCGCGGGAGCTTCCAAACACCTGATTATGCTCGCACATGAGTGAGGAACATTTCCTTAAAGTTTCAGCTTTCTAACTTTTCCCGTTCCCGGGTTAGTAGTTTTCGCGCCAAAATATCCACGCGCGTACTTGGGCTCGGGCGCTTCCAAACACCTGATTTTGCTCGTACATGAGTGGGAACATCCCCTCAAAGTTTCAGCTTTTTAGCTTTTCCCGTTCCCGGGTTAGTAATTTTCGCCCCAAAATTTCCACGCGCTCGCATGTGGGCTCGGGCGCTTCTAAGCACTTAATTTTGCTCGAACATGAGTACGGAACATCCCCTTAAAGTTTCAGCTTTCTAGCTTTTCCCGTTCTCGGGTTAGTGATTTTCGCGCCAAAACTTTCACGTGTCCGTACGTGAACACCTGGCGTTCCTAAGGAGCTGATTTTGAAAACTTTTGGTTACACATGGGTAGGGAACATTCTCCCAAGGTTTCAGCTTTCTAGCTTTTCTCGTTTCCGAGCCAGCGATTTTCGCGCCAAAACTTTCACGTGCTCGTACGCGGGGCCGAGACGTGCGTGAGGATTGAAACCGCAGTCCTAGGGTGGTACCTGGTTGGGGAACATACTGGCAAAGTTTCAGCTTCAAAGCTTGCGTGGTTAGCCAGTTGAAATGCCCGGGCAGACGAACAAACACATACAAACATACACATACACACACACACAGACACAGACACATACACACACACTGACAGGGTCGTTGCAATATGCGTTTTTGCTGCCTGTTGCAGCGCTCTAG